GACACCATGAAAAAAAGTGGCAGAAAATAACATTTCATATACAGGAAATATCCAATGCACTGAAAGTTCTTCTCTCTGGAAGTGTACAGCAGTGTGCTGTTACTTTCTGCATCTGTGTGTCAGTGTGTTGTCAGACTGTTTACAGACAGAAGCTTATTTCTTTACAGAGGAGGGAAATACAGTTGATTGATAGTGTTTCCAGGGACAAGATTCCCTCCACCTGTTCAGGCTGTCAGCCTCCTCTTCATCCTTCATTTCATTTTAGACAGTGAAGTGAGTGAGAGATGCTCCGAGCCCACGCAGTCTTGATACCGTCTTCCTGCCAACGCAGCACATACAGAGAGCAACTGACAGACCTCATGTCACAAACATCAAAAGCTGCAGTGTTTATCAGCGTGAGGCACAGGGCTCTTTGGACGCTTATAGAGAATAAGATCTCCGAAAAAAAACAAACAAAGACAGAACAGCAAGTCGTCTTTTAGATTTAATTTGAAATAATGGTATTAACTCTTGACATTTGCAGTCATGCATGATGAGCTACAGCTGATAAATGTAACAAATCCGTGGAGCAGTTTAATGATGTTTCCTCCTCACAACCTGTCCTGACCTGCAGTAATGAGCAGCAGTCAGAAAACATCAGTATTTAGGGCATGCTCTTCTTCCAGTGCGGCTTCTTCTTTTCAAATTATGTAAAAAGAAAGAAGACAAAATAGGGACATGAAGGTTTTAGGGATAATTGCAACTATTTCTGAGAGCAACAATACGATACAAGTTGAATAAAGACATTAAGATTAAAAATAAAAGATTTCAAGTTCAACAGATATGAAGGAATATTTGAGTAATTACTTACAGATATTTTAACATATGAACGACTTTTTGAGGCCTAAAATACAGAGTATTGAACTTTAGAGTTTTTAAGACCCTGTCTGTCAATTTATTCATGACAGGATGACCAGTCAGACACTAATGCACCTATAGATACGTTTACAGAAGTATACACTTGCTTGACTTGGAATTGTATCTACTTGTACCCTGTTCAAAGTAGGGACAATGAAAAACACAATGACACAGTATCGGGCAGTCCCTTACCTGCACAGCCACATAGAAGACATAGACAAAGCTTTGGAAGGAAATGTGCAAAGTTCAAATAAGCAAGCCTATTACATTTTTTATGGTCAGCATTGAAGCATGGATTTGCAGCCTTAACTGCAATTTGCCAATGAGATATCGAGACTTTTCCTGATCTCAAATTGTGACCAGCCTTTTTTTAATTGTAACAATTGATCTGTCATTTGTCTCGCAACTTTCCACACAGTGACAACTTGTAGCACTGTCAAAAAACAAATTACTCTCTCTCAAGCTGTTGTTTATATAGTGCATGTATTAGTTACTCTTGCATAGAGGAGGTGCAGCCACATTTTGAGTTGCATGTTGACAAAGGCTCAAATAT